TGTATCTCGCTAATTTTGTGCAATTTGGTTTCAAGTAGAGCATAAGGTTGACGGAACCTGGGGGACTGCGCCTATCCGATGAGCCCCAAGAAGGTCGAAACTGATTGTGGACTGTTAAGGAGTTTTCAGCAACCTTATTAGTAGTGTACTACATCTATAGCTGCGGTTTAATTGTACCACCAAACACAACACAGTTCCAATCACAACGCATTGATGACGTCGCCTCGTCTGGCTATGAAATGTTTGCAAACAAAGTGTCAAGTTCTGCGAACAAACCAGCGACCATCTTTCCCCTCTAAGCCACTGTAATTCTCTTCATCTGCAGCTGAAGAACAGTACTGGTGAATTGGAAGCTTTCAACGAACCAATCAACTTTCAGAAAACGGGGCATCAATCCAACGCGAATTCCGAACGGACCAATCAGAATGCGTAAAAGAGCCTGTAGCTACTCTTTAGAGGATATGTCCACTTCAGCAGAACGGGGAGGAAACTTCCCTTTGACCGTGCACTGACGGTTGGTGGTGAAATGCTTGAGACCAAATTACGAAGGTCGGTGGACAATCTGCTAGGCTCTGTGACACGACTTCCGTACCGCCGTCTTCCGTCCGTCGGGTGGAATCTCCGAATTGAGTGATACAGAAGAGATGTATCGAATTCGGAATGCTAGTGAAATCTTTAAAAGACGCTTCATTCAGGCAACTCTTTGGCTTCAATGGGGTGGAAGAGGAAAGTAATGAGTAGAGTCTGTCACAAGCAAGGCAAGTTCCAAACACAGGTTAGTAACAGTAGAAATAAGGTTCGACGCGTTCCACCGAAGTCATTACTTCCAACTTTTGTTTATTTTCAGGAGAGGTATCCTCCTGCTAGTCAATGACTTACTTTCTGCACTAGGGACATTACCCAATGTCTTTTACAGCTGCTAACTACTACGAAGCCATTGCAGCTTGGTAACATCGTGATGGGTCGGAAACGAGGGCCTTCAAAACCAGACAGATTTGATGCAACAAGAACATTCCATCATCTATCTCCCCTTTTGCTGTTGTGCTTTTTAAGGTAGCGTTCGGTCGACAGGTGCTGACAGGCGATTCGGATAACATCACCTCTGAGATCGACGTTCTGGGAACATCGTACATTCTGGAAGGGCGTTCTCGCTGGTCGGCGAATACATACTTTGGCAATCCGATGGCTGTTGATCTGTTCGCCGAGCTTGGCAATTGGCTTGCAAACGTTTCGTCACCATACGAGGAGACATCATCAGTGCGCAGTTGGGTGCGTGTGTTTCTATAGCAGTCAAAGGCTGTCTGTTATCTTCTGACGTGATTGGCTACCTGAATTGTAACGAGTCTAGTGAATCTATTGGTCCGTTTGTGATCCTTGTTGCGTTGTGGTCTGTGCTCCTTTGTGTTGATTGGTTATCCCAACGGCTTCTAATTTTAGTAGCTTATTCTCTCTGGCCTTGATTCGCATTGCGTTGTGGTCTGCCGTTCTCGAGTTTGATTGGTTGCTTGTACCGCCCTATTTCCTCCACCGTGGCGGTTAATGTCCCTGCGTCCGCCGGTTGATTTGGTGCTTTGATTGGGCGCCTCCTCCAATCCAATTGATGTGTCCGTTTGAATGACGCTTTCTTGCTTCTTGTATGAGTTCCTCGTATGGTCGCTTTTGCGGCTCTAAGTTCTGTGGTTTTGGCGTTCTCTCGCTCTTAGTGGCTGGTAAATGGGATCAATTTCAATGTGTTTGTTGATGGCTTCTTCGGTGGAGTACCACGCCTCCATAAATTCGCGTTCTCGTTTCGTTCTTGCTTGAGCCAGTATGCGAACGCCGTTCCAGTCGAACTCGTGTCCTTCTTGGTCTTTGTGTGCGGAGATGAGGGAGAATTGATCGTGTCTTTTAGTGGCGAGTTTGTGTTCGTGTATTCTGGTGGAGAGCTTCCTTCCTGTTTGTCCTACGTACCGTTTGTCGCAGTCCTTGCATTGGATCCTGTATATGACATTGTTCTTCGCCATTGGATCTAATTTCCCCTTTGGTCTTGATAGTGTCCTCCGCAGAGTATTCGCAGGCTTGTAGGCGACCATTGTATTGTGCTGTCGTAGGAGCCTTGCCGTCATTTCAGCGGTGTTCTTGATGTACGGAAGTGTGACTCGTTTGCTTGCAGTTTGTCCTGTTGCATCGATCGTATTTGGCTTCCTGAGTGTTCTCCAGATGAAATTCCTCGGGTATCCATTTTTCTGAAACAATTTATATAGGCGCTTTTCTTCTTTGATCTTGGATTCTGTTGTACTGCAGTGTGTCTCGATCCGCTTGAAAAGTGTCCGAATGCAGCTTCGTTTGTGGCAATTTGGATGGTTGCTGTGGTAGCTGAGGATTTGGTCCGTATGTGTCGCCTTTCTGAAGACCTCAGTTTGTAGTTGTCCGTTCGGCAATCTAGTGATGAGGATGTCCAGGAACGCCAGTTTTCCGTTGTTTTCTTCCTCGGTTGTGAATTTGATGTCGTCGAAAACGTTGTTTAACAGTTGGCTCACTCGTTGCAGTTCGCTCCTTTTGATGATCACAAATGTATCGTCCACGTAACGGATCCATATTTTGGGATTTATATCGGGCAACACAATTTGTTCCAACTTTTGCATTGTGACTTCGGCAATGAATCCTGAAATTGGCGATCCCATTGGTGCCCCTCGTAGTTGTTCATAATATTCTCCGTTGAACTCGAAATGTGTGATCAGGCATAAGTCGAGTAATCTGCAGAGGTCTTCTTTCTCCAGTGATCCAGTTGGCGTGCCGTTGTTGTCCAATAATTCGGCCACAGTTGTCTTAGCCGAATCCAGGTCCACAGACGTGAATAGTGAGCTCACATCAAATGAGACCATTATTTCGTCCTGATCGATGCTTACGTGTTTTAGTTTCTCCAAAAATTGTCCCGCATTGTTGATTGAGTGTTGAGACCCACTGATGAGATGCTTCAATCTTTTCCATAGTTCCTTCGAAAGATTGCAGGTCGCTGTTCCAGGAAGTGATACAATTGGCCGGAGAGGTATTGATTCTTTGTGTACCTTTGGGAGTCCGTAGAAGCGAGGAATGGCCGAATCACGAGCTCTCATTCTCCAATATTCCTCTTTTGTAATCTTGTGGAGATCTTGGAGTTGCTTCAAGTTCTTATTGATTTTGCTTGCTAGCTGCTTGCTTTGGTCGCGTTCTAAGCGGCGGTACGTAGTTGTGTCGTTGAGTAGTGCCTTTGCTTTATTGATGTAGTCCGGTTTGTCCATGATCACCGTTAGGCGTCCCTTGTCTGCCGGTAGAATCACGATGTTTTCATCCCTCTTCAACTTGTTCATTGCTTCTTTTTCTTTGCCGGAAAGCACGTTGAGTGGTTTGTTGCGTGCGATGGCTGGGACGACAGTTTGACGAAGTTGCTGCTGAGCGTTTTCGTCGAGTCCAAGAGATTTCATCGCTGCTTCTAGGCTGGCTAAATACTCCAGGTTTGTCGCGTCTTTGAAGTTGAAATTAAGTCCTTTGACGAGAACATTTTCTTCAGCTTCCGTCAGTTGCCTTTTGGACAGATTCCTTATCCAGGCTTCATTGTGACTACTTTCACACTCCTGATTTCTAATCAGCCTTGAGAATTTGCTATCTAGATGAGCCTTCTTGTTTTTAGCAGTGGATAAAACTCTTCGTTCTACCGCCATGCTAAGTTGCTCCATGAGATCTGGTCCTATTGTCCTCAAGCAGGTTTCCCTATGTTCGTTGGCTATTCTCTCGTATTTTCTAATGCGGTTGTGAGCGTCTGTAATCATAAGTCTGACCATTCGTCTACCATTCTGTCTAGCTATTACCCAAGCTTGTGGATGGTTTATTGGCGGTCGGTAGGTTACGCTACGTGGAAGGATGTGTTTGCGCAGGCATTCATGGAGGAAGTAGAGTTGTTGTCGCGTGGAGGCTTGTCGGCAGGCGAAAGTCTCCCATCGACGGGCTGTTTTGAGCGTGGAACGCCCGAAGTAGTTGGTAATTTGTTGAAATATTGGTAGCTCGGGTGAGTTTATTGGTTGTTGATCAGGTGGCTGTTGATCTGTTCGCCGAGCTTGGCAATTGGCTTGCAAACGTTTCGTCACCATACGAGGAGACATCATCAGTGCGCAGTTGAGTGGGTACTTCTTCCTTGCCTGCGTGCGCTTATATAGCATTCGAGGGCTATCTGTTTTCTTCTGACGTGATTGGCTACTTAAGGTGTAACAAATTTGGTGAATCTATTGGTCCATTTTTGATCTTTGTTGCGTTGTGGTCTGCGTTCCTTTGTGTCGATTGGTTATCCTCACGCCTTCTATTTTTAGTAGTTCGTTCTCTCCGGCCTCGGGTTGTATTGCGTTGTGGTCTGACGTTCTTGAGTTTGATTGGTTGCTTGTGCCGCCCTATTTCCTCCACCGTAGCGGTCAGCGTCCCTTCGTCCGTCGGTTGATTTGGTGCTTTGATTGGGCGCTTCCTCCAATCCAATTGATGTGTCCGTTTGAATGATGTTTTCCTCCTTCTCTTATGATTTCCTCGTCTGGTTGATTTTGCAGCTTTAAGTTCGGTGGTTCTGGAGTTCTCTCGCTCTTAGTGGCTGGTAAATGGGATCAATTTCGATGTGTTTGTTGATGGCTTCTTCGGTGGAGTACCACGCCTCCATAAATTCGCGTTCTCGTTTCGTTCTTGCTTGAGCGGGCAAGCAGCGGGGTCACCAGTGAAACAATCAGGAATTTATTGGTGGTAACAGATGTGTCGTGACTATCTGACGTCACAATTCAGTGTCTTATTATCGCGAAAAGACTGGTCAACAAGGAACGCGGCAGATTTATTGTGAACAGGTGAGTGAAGAAACTACAAGGCGTGCCGTGGTATTTGAAGCTCACTTTTGGCCGTGAAATCAGGCTGCCCAATTGGTGCTGGGTGAAGACGCATCGTCATCATCATCATCATCATCATCATCATCATAATCATCATCATCACCATCATCGTCATCATCATCATCATCATCACCATCATCATCATCATCATCATCCGAATCATCATCATCATCACCATCGTCATCATCATCATCNCCATCATCATCCCCATCTCCATCATCATCATCACCATCGACAGCATGACGTCGGTGTTCAAGACCGGTACTTCACTGCCGTACAAGCATGATTTATTTAGAAGCCTTCTGGGGTGTAAAAAATAAAGGTAGATGGGGGAAGGAACTTAGTGCTAGCTTACTGCAGTCATTCCGAGGTGCTTGACCTCCAGATATTCATTCAGGCAACCTGGATAGAATCCGACGACAACAACAACGCCGCTGACATCGATTCGCAGCCAAATCTTGCGGCCTCTCCAACCAGGCGCAGTGGGGATCACGTGGTATCCATCCTGGAAGGCGCGTAGCATCGACAGCACCTAGGCATTTCGTAATATCTTTCACACCTCTGCCAGGTCAAAGGTTGGCCACCTCTCTGCTTCCGTCATTTTGAATTGGGCACTGAAATGCACTTTCGACAAATGACGGCTAGGCGTACGTAACACGTGTCCTATCCAATGCACCTTCGGGTACTGAGTACATTTCTTAGTGGAAATTCTCGTTGCACAACCGAAAACTCGCTTTCGGATTACCCAGTTGCGGGTTCGCCGACACCAATCCACACGGGCTATGGCCCTGAGGCATCGATTATCGAATACCTGAAGAATTCTCTCGGTTCTGCTAATCGAACAGGCCAAGTCTCACAGCCATACAACAAAACAGCCCGCACTGTAGCTTGATACACACGTCTCCTGAGATTCAGGGTTAGACTACTTTGACGCCATAGGTCTCTCAACTTAGCGAACGCGGCCTGAGCCTTGCAGACTCGTGCACTCACCTCATCCGTCACCACACTACAATCAGAACAAATACAACTTCCAAGATGCGTAAAACGCTTCACAACCTCGAGTATCTCTCCCTGATTGTTCTCCGAAATTTCAACATCACACCTGTCGCTTTGGAGTTAAGCTACCAAACCCATTTCCTCCATTTTCACACTCCCAACCGTGTTCGTTCACGGTGTCTCTCACCTGCATCTCCCTATACTCACCCGTGCTCTCGTATTGAAAACTGATAAACGTTAAGCTGTAACACTCGTTCACTGCCAAGCTGCCATGCCATCTATAAGACTCACGAGGGTCCAGATATCGCCAGGTTGCCCGAGTCTAAACAGCATCAGTCGAAGTGAAACCGCTGAGCCATCTCGAGCTCCGATTCCCTACTATGCTCACCTTTGTTCACCTTTACTCAACGGTGCATCGGATCCCATTCATTCAAGACTCTCATGGTCATCTGACCCGGCTGGGGATATCTTCAGTCGTAGCTGCAATATTTTCAAAACCAAACTACCTTGTGCCTGAAGGAAGATAAGTCGTTAAAGACATCGTTAAATCAAACGAGGGCAATGCAACGGTTATCATGAGTCAAAAAAGGCAAAGTATTCGAGCACGTGACCTTGGACCGCCACGAGATCATAACTTTCGGATCAACACGTACCTAAAGCAATTAAAAAAACTCGGTCAATCACGGTGGTATTCACTTGCAACAAAAACCAACAGATCCAGAAAGCTTTATAGGTTCCAAAACATACATAAAGAAGACTTTTTTTACGTCGTCGTGGACTATCCTCCTTGTACAACTTACAGCCCACCAGATAACTAAGCAGTTTTTTGAAGCCGTATTATCGGCTGATGGTAAGTCACGTGAATGCACACCCTTCGACTCGTATCGATTACTACAAAGTGGCAGACAGCTTTGCGTGACATCCATCCAGACGAGTATACCAACTGACCACTGTTCATCGATTCTTTCCTCGATTTTGTGTGATGATGACTTTAGCGTGGAGAACAACCTCATCCCCTGTTGATATTATTCCCTGTGTTGAACCGTGTGTAACCGCAACTTACTTATAGACGGTGTCACTGGGGGCTCTCGGTAGTGGTTAATTTGATTTTGCTCCATGTTGAAACTAAAATATCGTTCAGCTGTCACACCCTTTTAGTGCCTAACTGCCATGCCACCAGAAAGAAAGCACGATACTGCCAAGTTGCCCAAACCCAGGCTGGAGAAGTCGAGGGGCAGAGGTCGGATACGAACCATGGACCTTCCGTTCAGTAAATTCGCGCTCTAACCACTGAGCCATCTCGCCCCCATGTTGAAGCTAAGGCCTTCCAAGACTTTCCCGTCAACCACAATTCAGCCACACAAAAACACGCCTTCCGAAACGGCTTCAACGAACAATAGGGTAGTACAAAACTTCTTATGGAAAGTGGGAACGATCAAAAGAACGATACGTTTCCCGGACTAAGGAGTGTCGGTTAACACGAGCCGTTTGGTCAGGCACCCATATCACGAGTCCCTGTGCCAAAAGTGCAGTCATCGAATCCTTGGTGAATCCTGTCGAGGAACTGTGCACTAGGAACTGAAAGGACTCACCGGGTTTTACGAAAAAACAAATGTTCCGTGGGAGTCGCTAACCAACGAATGAACTGAACTTTTCCCGAAGCGGCGTTCGTAGTTACCACGCCAACCGGCAGTTACTTCGGGATTATGGCAATAACGCGTCCTTACAACGTTCTTACACTTGAGTCAAATCATCAAACTTACTGCAACGACACACCTGTCTTCCGGTTAGGATTCACCGTGCTTTGAAGCACTGGGGCTCAAGACACACCTGAACTGCGTAAACCTCAATGATAGCGCCTGGTTTGTCGTACACTTTAGCGGCTGCCAAATGGGATCGCAACAGCCACGTATCATAGCTGACTTTAGTGCCCGAGGCACACACACACACACACACACACACTGATTGATAGCATCTAATTACCAACGCATTTCAGAAACGTACCAGTCAGAGGACATGACGACTGCTCCTGGCTGAAAGGTTGCTTTATTCACTAAGCCTTAGGTTCGAGACTTCCCGATGAAATTTCGTGAGACACACACTACGAATGAGACAGCAGTACAGTGCTTTCGAGCTTTTTTTGCATAGAATGGTTTCACTTAAACGACCTCAATAACGCGGCATTTGACCTGTTACATATTGGTTGTAAAAATCCTTGAAAGGATGTTCCCCCCGCGCCATTCAGAACGTCCGATTAAAGTACCTTACTCAACTGCCCCTACTCAACTCTCACTTTAAACTTTTCCCCTTTGTATACTCATGATTTTTCGTATAAAAACCGGACTACTTCGTCCAAAAAATCCTCAGACAACCCGAATTCAGACAGCATTTTCCACTTTACTTGCTTCGTTCTAATTTGCGATTTTTCCATTGTTGATAGGCTGATTTATTACAATTCGGACAAGACTTATTGAAATACGTGTCCTTCTCTCTTTCTCTCTCTCTGTTTCATGGCCGCGTACAGGAGAACAACGAACTAAACAGCTCTTTGAGCGTGAGTCCCAAGTGTGACCCAAACAAGTGAACTGGAAAAATTCTTCAACTCAGATAAATTCACACGGCAGACTGGGTCAAATGCCCCCCTCTCTCTCTCTCGAACAACGGACACTTATAGAGATGACCGAATCCATGAGAGAAGCGGTTTCTGGTGTAAAGTTTGTCTCAGAGTAGTATTCGCAAATGCGAGTTTGTTCAACAATCACCACTGGGTCAAGTTACGGGGGAATAGAGTTACGTCACGTCAGCTATAGTTATAATGGATCGATAGATCAGGTCAAACAGCAAGCCACGAGGGCGAGAAGCAAACAGATGGACAGAAATTGTCTCCAGAAAAAACTGATTATGGAATAAGAAACTTTTTGATTAGAGCAAAACTGTCCGATCCCAGTTTTGTAAATGTGTCAGTGGATTTAGAATTGAGCAAATCCGAAAACAAAGTGAACGATTTGCCATCGTGGTCCCCTAATATGTGGAATTCGTTCCAAGTAAACCCAGAAATATTTCGCTTTTTAGCTTTCTCTCCTATTAAACACCATATTCAAGCACCATAACATTTTGTCACGTCAAAGAACCTTCTCGGGCTCCGTGGAATTCCCTGCCGACTGGCGATTGCTGAGGTTACTCAGTTGAGGATCACCAAAACAATAATCAATCGTTCAGCTGTGGAACGCTTTCGGTGCCTAACTGCCATGCCACACGAAGGAGGCACGAGGGCTGGGATAGTGCCAGGTCGCCCAAGCCTAGAAAGGGGCAGAGGTCGGGTTCGAACCACGGACCTTCCTGCAGGTAAGTTCGCGCTCCAACCGCTGAGCCATCTCGCCCCTTGAGGATCGCCACCAATGAGGGATTCAACTGGGTCTCGCCTAGGTTTAGTTCCTCAACAGTGTATAGTTTTATGTCCAAGTAGACGATAAAGCTGATGGGAAATCGCGGATTATGCCTACCCGATGAGCTCCAGGAAGAGAGAAACAGGTCTCTGGCTGTCGAAGAGTTTCCAGCGCACTCGTTGTGTTGGTAATTACGTTCTTCCAACATGTTTCCTCTGAGCTGCCATGACAAATGATCGAGTGAAAGTGATTCGCGTCAGTGGGGCTAAACTTTTGTGGGAATTTTCTCTAGCCAGAATTCCAATCCGGCGCCATATCGGTTGCGTAATCCAGGCATTTAGAGGTTTTGAAGTGACTTGGCGTCATACCTACCCATATTACGTCACCATGAGTAACAAAATAAGTATAGTAAAGGCGACTCCGTACTATCGTTCTGTCGCCAACGAAACGCATTGTTCCGAGGCACAAATGGGCTTTTGTCTAAAAGCTTTGAAAGCGCCAGTTTTTTCAAATACCATCACTGAAATTCTCGAGAGTAGCTTTCTCTGTCTGTCTGTCTGTCTCTTTTAAGTTTCGGAAAATTTTAGGGGATTGATTCTTCCAAATTTTGAGGGAGGTGTTATGTCAAGGGTCACCGTTCCAGCTAGAGCGACGTGCTCACTTGTACCAGCTGAAGCAAATTTTTTGATATTGAAACCTTTGAAGTTAGAACATTAGGTTAATGTACTCTATGTAAATTTAAAATATCGGCGAATCTTACTCTGGGCTTTTTTTCCCTTAGGTGTGTTTTGTACAATTCAGCAATAATATTGTTTGGCTTTTGGGTCGCACCAAATAGTTCAGCTGCCCTAAGCCGACTAAAACAGTCCCTTTTCACCGCTGCACTGTCTAATCTCTGAGATATTCTGGGTTGTGATACGCGAGGTATCGTAAAAAAACTACTCTGTATCGAAATCGAGTGTTACGAGTGTGGGGGGCGCCAGTTGAATGTTGGAACTGAGTCAGCCTCGGTCATCGGACCATCAGACATTAGACTCACTCAATGGTCACGACGGGGGGCTGCAGAGGTCAGGCCTCAAATCCACCAATCAGAAGACCGATCATCCAACGGGCCAATAAGAATGGTGATCTGGTCATCACCAATCGAGGTGACATCATCTGTGCGTCGTTAGAGAGCGGAGTGGTACGCAGCGATTGGTTATTGGTTGTGTCACAACCACACGTCACGTGTGCGGAGGTCAAGCCCCCCCTCACGGTCTAGGAAATGCACTGCTGCAGTGCATTCCTCGTTCTGGTGTGGATTCGCTAGAACAATTTTGTGCCACTATAGGAGGTCGGTTGTTCAGACGAGAGTGATTTGACGGTGAGTTACTCGGCCTGCTCCAGTAGAGACCTATTTGGATGGCAAATCTACATGCACAAGAGTGTTTCTGAAAAATGGGAGGGCAGTGGGATTCGACAACACGCCCATGGAACTGCTCAAACTGGGAAGTCGGAGGCTGAAAGAGGTCTCACAGGTTTCAGGGGTGCAACAATATCTGCATGAAGGGTGGAGAAGTTGACAGAAGACGGAGAGCTATCGCGGAATCATCCTCCTACGCACAGCAGACATGGTTATAAATCGTATCCTGTTCAGCTGACTGCTGGCATTCTCGGCGGGGCAAGCTTCTGAAGGGCTGTGTACATTTTGAAGCGATCAAAGTGCCACTCGTTGCAATATTACCGGAAGTCCAGCTCAGGAAAAGCTTCGTGAAAGTAGTCAAACACTCTCTGAACTGTTTTTGGAACTCCTCAAAGCCTTTGACTCGACCAACGCAGAAGCACTGTGGATCAGACTTCAAAAGTTGACAAACTGATCAAACCATTTCACCCTGACAAGAAAGCCTGAATGCAGACCTGCGCGACTACCTTGAATGGATTCGAAGCTGATGTAGGAAGAAATCAAGGCTTTATCTGCGCGTAGGTGTCACACCAGTACGAAAGTTGATGATTATTTATTCAAAGCTTTTCCTGGCCAAACCACTTTGACAAATTTAAATGTGCTCAGTCAGACGGACTGAGTTCTACTCATCACCTATGATGTTTGTAATATTGTCCACGCCTTAATAAAGGTAAATAAAACTCTTG